AAAATCCACAAGCTCACAACAAGACAAAGTGACAGACAAGAACGAGAACACAAGAGCTCAATCAATAGAGTCAATAGAAATACATGTATTCTGATTTGTATTCTAGTAAACAGAGAATGATTTCAATGATTGAAAAACACAAATAAAGAAACCTATTTGCAAATGCCATTTGGGTGGACTGTGCAAACTACGAAGAAGCTGCTGCAAGGCAATGCCAAAAGAAGATACTTTGAAACAGAACTGGTCTCTTGATGGTCTCCTTCGTTGCAATTATTAAGGGTTCATTATAGAGCATGACGAAGGGCCTCAGCCCGAAACGTTACAGTTTGGTATTTAAAAAAATACACTGATTGGGAGCTACATAGCTGTGCGGATTTTCACTGTTTTTACGTCTTGCATTTTTTAATCCAGCACGCTAGCCCAGACTACAGGGATGTGCGGCCTTATTTGAAATTTTCTTTCATTATAGAGCATGACATGTGATGAAATACATTTGAAGCCGAGACATATTAAAAGTCAGCGACAAAGTCACACTCTGCCTTTTTCCCAGGCCATATTTCTGCAGGTTTGACCTTCTCCAGACAACAAACTAATGGTTAATCATGGACAAAAGCCTCTGACATTTTTTATGCATGCTTTTCACTGACTCACAGTGAAAATCATGCATAAAAGCATGTGTATGTGTGTGTGTGTGTGTGTGTGTGTGCGTGCGCGCGCACTGGGCACAGGATTGTATGGTGCCACCGTTTACGCTGAAATGTTCACTCAATAAAACATGATAAAAAACAAAAGCAATCTTCTAGCGTTAGCATAATATAAGCGTGAACTTTTGTTCAAACTTTTGTGGCTTGTGCGAGTCCAGAGGGCGTACCACGATCTTCCCATAACCTTCCCATCATGTCCTGCTCCAGCCCCTCCATGCAGTGTTGAGCCGAGTATGCAAGGCTTCGAGAGAGATGCATCAGCGCACGGAATCTAAAACTTCCACATTTTGGCACAATCTTAGAATTGTTGTGTGACAACAAAAATAAGCCAACATTTGGACAAAAATGTAACAGTGTGAGCCCAGCTTTAGACGTCCACAGTATCTGAGTATCCAGTTAGCGCTATGCAGCCTAATTAAAGCCTAATATCCAATTTCAAACAATGATCAATGGGCTGGCATATTTAAGTATAACAGATAATGATATACACAATATAAAAACTACAATGTCATGAGTCAAATGTAGAGAACAAACAAAAAAGTCTTTGGTTCACGATTTGATAAATGTTAAGCTGTTAAGGAATCTAATTTTGTTTGAACATTTTATAACTCCACTTGACACCCACTAAGGGACCGTTAGCTAGGTTAGTTTTACCTTACTGATGATGTGTTGTCGCAATAGTATTCGTGCTTCCAACAACCACAAAAGAGAATAATAATGTTCAGAAAAAACGTTTGCTTTTATTGCCTAGTTGTGCACTTCATTTGCTTTCTCAATTCTACAAAATTACAACAATGTATTCAAGTTTTCAATAACAGAATCTTTTTCTGTACTTTTATCAGCCTCCAGCCTTAATTGAGACTCATTTTTCATAGTGCTAGTTTTTTAATGGAATCAAGGTTAGCTGCTTTCATACAACACTGCCATAGACACAAACCTGCAATATTCCAGCTGCTTCCAAGGTCACTTCTATTCGGTCATTATTTACAAAACAGCTCACACGTAGCGTTGAAAAAAGGCAAATTATGGCCATGGAGTTGGAGTAAACACACGTACGCACAAAAGAAAACCATGGGGAGAGGAATAGCTGAATATCAGTTTTCCATGCTTGTCAGGGCTTGCGATTAATAGCAGCCATTTTGCCATAATGAGCTGGTGTGCGTAAAGCTGCCAAAAAAGCCCCTCGGTTTGCTTAGGAGTCTCTGAATACTTTGCCTAATTATGGCAACACTCGCTCTGCCCCTTCAACACTGTCAGCCATGCCACCAATTTGTATTGTTAGAAGACAAAAAAGGCACATGACAAAATGATTAAAGATTAGAATTGCTCTTACACATGTACCAGTCAGGTGGACGTAAATGCACAGTGTGGCACATCTCTGCTTTAATCACCTGTGGCAGTAAAAGTTAAAGACTTGAACGATCGCACCAGACGGATTATATTTATAGTCCACGGGAGAATCCTTTTAGAGAAAAATTTGATATGAAATCAGGCTGAAAATAAATGTTGCCGTTTTGTGTTTGAGATGAGGAATAACAAAATTTAAAAAATGCTCCAAAAAAAATATGGACAGTGCACAATTATTCATGTGTTTTATTTGATTGGGACTGTGTGTACTAATGAACATGCAGTGCTGTAAATACACAGTCGCACTCACAAACACACACTCATACCCTGAACTATTGCACAGGTTTTTAGGGTACAGAGCTTCCAGAGGAAACCTTCGCAGACATGATGAGAACATGCAATCTCCACACACAGATAAGTCCTGTCTGGAGGTGGATTCGAACCCCGGACCTTCTGCTGTGAAGCATGAATGCTGACCACTGCTCCACCATGCCACCCAAAAGTTCCACTGTCTATCTTGACTCAGGGAGAAATGTTTTGCTTAGAATGTAACTCATGTGGTATTAAACATTGTCCTTGTGATGAAGAAATAAATAATCTTGTACATTATCTCAATTGGTGTTTATACTCAATTTAGAGGTGTTTAAACTCAATGGAGAGAACACATGTAGACACAATGTAGAGAGTGAGCACCCACTTACATTGTAGTTGAACCATGTGTTATTGATTCAGCCTTTAACTTCATAATGTAATTTAATACAGATGATTACTGAACTATTTTAAAACCAAATGCTGTCTTGTGTTAGTTTTGGTCAATAAAGCTAATGAACAAATCAAAAACATAAAATGAGGTTTTGTAATTTTCATTTCAGAAGTATTTGCTTTTTTGCTTCCAATTGATAAAAGAAATCCAATTTCTCCAGTGTCAGATTTGTATATACACCTCGAAGGAGTGGTTACAGCAGATCCCTGGAACAACCTTGGATATCTTGGTCCAGAAATGTGCAGTGCTTTAGGTACAGCGCAGAACCCTCAAGCTCCATGGCCTCGGGTGGAGGGCCCGAGCTGAGAGAGGGATAACCGCCCGCGGAGAGTGATGTATCAAATGTATATATACACACACAGACACACAGTCAGTTAAACGCGTTAATAAAAGTGTTCACACAAATGTATGTATTTTGACTGAAAGCTGCGTTGCTGTATTGGTATAAGCTTTTAAGATAAAATAAGATAAGATAAGATAGACCTATATTCGTCCCATACAGGGGAAATTTCAGTATAATCGTGGCGAAATAAGGGCCACTCAGATTGCACATTTTTGCTTAGTCCAATCCCTTGTCAAACCAGATCAAGGGACTTTTAGAACAGGGAAAATAATGTGATGAATACATTTAACTATGACATTGATGCAACTAATCGTGATTAAATATTAAAAATAATTGTTTAACAGCACTACAATCTGTACATTTCACAGGCACAACTAATCCTCGCTACCACTAGCATTGATACACATTCTTTTTATCCACACAACAAATACAGCTTCAAATAGTACTGTGAAACATACTGGCATTGTACCAGTCTGTCCTCTGGGTGAAATTTGAATTCAGGGCAAAAAATTAACTATGTCATGGACAGCTAATGTCCTGGGAGAAAGTCATATATTTTACCACTTTTGGGAGCAATTTTTCCGTCAGATTAATGGGTCAATTGAGTAGCAAGGAAAAAGGGGATGACACATTGCTGCAATTAGCATGGGCCTTGAATGGATTCCTGTCAGAGGCTGAGGGGAAGATGTATCCCAAAGCAGAAACTGACAAGATGATAAAAATAAATGCATTGTCATAAGGGCCAATTACGGTGAAAGACACTCTATGTGATTACACAAAAAGCTGACGTTACAACAGCTCATGATGTTTGGATGTAAAATGGCAGCACTTTCCTTGCTGTTTGCTCAGAAAATGTCAATGTGCCAGAATTTAACAAGCACCAGGCTTTTGTTTGACAGTGTGAAGACAATAAAAACACCCATTGATGAATAAAAGTCTGATTTGTTCCCACTCAAATTTGGATATGAAAGCATGATCATTTATGCTTAACTACAATGATAAGTTGGTATAAACAACCAAAGGCGAGCATATTAACAGTGTGTGAGATAGCTATGTTAGAATCTTTGACAAGGTCTCATGTACGTTAAGCATTTGTGCCTGAATTTAATGTGACACTTAATCAATCAGGCTAATAAACAAATGCACTTTTCTGTTATGATTATGCCAAAAAGTAGATGTTTGGATATTTCTGAATATCTATCATATGTGGTCATCTTACTAAACCCCTACAATAAAGATATTATTGTGGTATGGGGAAGACTTTTGTTTCCTGAGTTGTAATTGCTGTAATTGATTAATATTGTTATGTTATGTTGGACACAAGAGTCCTGTCTCAATCAAGATCCAGTCTTAGTCCGAGACAAACTCCCTCTGTAGTGCCTAGTCTTAGCCTCTGTGTGCTAGATGTGAAATATGAGCCAGAAGCCTTGAGTTGCAACATTGCACCATTTCACAACAGTAAAACATTGACAGTTGATAATGGCTGATGAATAAATGACCATACACATAAAGACATCTACACCCAAACATTACATACTTTTCTATTTCCCTTGGTAAGTCCATACCATCTATAAGTGTACATTTCTGCTATATTGGAATAATTCATCTCTTTCTGTCTGAAGCATATCATAAAACTTATGAAAAATAAATTCCAAAATGTTGTGCTCCGCTAAGGGTGATAAATGAAATCCGGTCTCCATGACAAACAGGCTGCCCCGAAAACTGCTGTATCATCTATTTTGTTTGATGTTAGGAAGTTTTTGCTGTGTGGAGACTATTGAGGCGTGAACATCTCAAGGCCTACAGCTGTGAGTGTGAAGTCAGTGCGTTAGTGTGCGTGTACCTGCGAAGGGGACTGGAGCGTCCTTGTCCAGAGCCACTAGCGGAGGGTCGAGCAGAACTGTGTCCATGTTTTCTGTGATCACCCCATGGTACGATGTCTCTATCCATGGCTTGTGCTTGTTGACTGTGGAGAAAAGAGTCAAAGATTCAATGTGCTGAAAACTTAGACAATTAAAAAAAAAAAGCAGTACAATAGAGGAGGCTGAAAGAATGTTAAATATCAAAAGATTCAACAAAAATCCTTTATATTTCATTATTTACATGTGTGTCAAAATGTTCCAGATCAATGAAAAAACGCTTTACTGTTACTTGTAAATGGGTCTATAAATAGCAGCATCACCACATCTTTTAGCACAAATAAAGCTGCTTTCTCAATTCAGCATAATAACGATTCAGCTGTCTATACAAACATCAATGCAGCCGACTGAACCCAATGAGACATATACTGTAGGGATATATTAATTATTGAGAGTATTCAGATTCATACGCCCAGATGGAGCACAAAAGTCTGTTTCTGGATCAAATCAAATTCTAAAAACATTTGAATCAAACAAAAACACAATTATAGATTCCAGCTCGTGTACATAGAGCAGATAGCCAGGATTTCACAATGATTTGACCAATATTCCCAGTGAAATCCACATCAAAAGAGTTGTATTATGATGAGTATGGTTTTTTATATGGCGCTCACTGCTCACTGCTGGCAAAAACATATGTAGTTTGCGCTACAGTGGGTAAGCTGTTCGGTTGTTTACTTTCCCTCGCCCAAAGTCGACTTTTGGCAGTGCCCTAAACTGATGTTTTGTGCCTAATTTCAACATGTCCCCCATATCCATGAAGTCTTTGTTATCTTGAATTATTAACAAAACAGCAACAGTGGCTTAAGTCCACCGAGTGGGGTTGGTTGCCTTCTTCCCTCAACCTTCTTACAGATAGATGTGTGGTAAGTCAAGAGGATGAACCAGAGATTAACACAGATCTCCAATGTGCCTGATTAGAGCGGGTGGAAATTAAACTTCTTCTCTCAAATGCACTCCCACTGTGAACTCCCAAGGTTGCAACACCAGGAGGACAAGCTTATAGGCTGGTATTGTATTAAGGGTATACAAGATTGGATGTGGAAGGATCAGAAGGGCAACTTGACCTGCGTATCCTCTGGAGAGGCACATTTTGTCTGATCTGTAGAGCAGCTGACGTGGCCACCTGGACGAGGTTTTAAAAACTGGAATTGCCGAAAATAACGGCCACTCGTCATCTGTTACGGAGTTTGTGCCCTACAATTCTATTTTCCAAAAACAGGGTCAACGCAAAGAAACATAGAACACAGACTCAGTGTCACCATGTAGCGGATGATTTCAGATAGTGATTTGGAGACTCATGTATTAATACAGGTGCTGTGGGTGCAAAGTATAAAAGCATGGACCATTTTAGTGGTTTAGTTCAAGAGGACTAAGCCACAAGATACATGTGCAATAGAAATGAGTTCAGGTAACACTAAAGCATGTGAGCAAACGTGTGATAAATGAGGCCCTTGGTGTTTTAAGATATAAATAAGACATGTATTGGATTAAATGCTTTTCAATAGTGGCACTGAATGAGCATTGTATACCACAGTCACCTTTGGCCGTTGCTCATTTGCAGAATTAAGCTCAGTAGATTGAGTGAACGCCAAGGGACAGCATTATTCACAGTGGGAATCTCATCTCACGCTCACAAGGAGATAAGAAAGCTCTGTACCGCGGGTGTTCGATGCCTGCATTTTGGAACAGATACTTCACTTCAAAACCAGCGGATACCAATGGTGTTCAAACAGAAAAAAGCCTGAACCCCCTCTTAATTTTAAACGCATTACCTTTCGATTTCAATCAGTGATAGAGCGCACACTGGATTTATTGTGTTGTAAGTCTGACACACTCAAGATTCCCAACTGATTTTGATACATGTTTGGATAAAACAGAATAGATTATGAATACTATTTTAGAAAGAGAGAAAAAAAAAGATTCATTGTTCAATTGATTGGGACAGTGCATGTTAATGAACACACAAAATATAACAGAATAATTTATATCCATTGGATCCAACAAGACATGGACTTTGCACAAAAGTTAAGAGTTTTAATTTTCATATTTCACTTTAAAATATAGTGTCTAAGTTGACGCTGAAGTGAAACCTTTTATCTGGTGTGTCCTCCTCTCAATCTTTGCGGCGTTCTATGGAGTTTGTCGCATCAAGACCAAATTGAACTGAAACAAGCGTATGAAGACAATGTAACGCTGTGACAGAGGTGTGGTAAGAACTGTGTAATTCAAAAATGAGTTTTATCCAAGTGATTCTTCATCCTACGTTGTGAACTTGTGAAAATATATGGTATCCGTCATGGGTGCACAGCATTTCATTTGCATTTGAAGAAGTCCTCAGAAAGTGCGAAAGCAGTGTGGCGCTGGAGCAGTTTACTCACGGGTGGCAGCTTCAATTTGGGGCTTTAGGTCTTACATTTATCCCAAATAAATTGGGTGGAGGCAGTGGCGGGATGAGGCGTGACTCTTAAAGGCAGTTTAATACGAGAGCTGTTTTATAGCAGAGTGCACACCAGACCATGGAAATGAGCCGTTTCCAAAATGGATTTTATGATGTGTTGGACTACCGAGCCATTAGTGATGCTCTTGAGGTAGTAAAAGCAAAAATGAAAGTCTACAGGGAAAAGGTGGGAGAGGGGATTTGGTCTCTGCTGCTGTTGGATTAAAAAAACTTAGTATTAGAGATATTATTATTGGAGACATTGGAGACATCTACTTGAAGAAGGTTGAGGATTTAACCACGTTTTAACAGGGTTAAATGTGTGTTTTCTCAGCATTTGTTTACTCAATATGCCATGAATAACTAACTAATGTAATCTGAAAGCTGTAAAGACAAGCAATATTCCTGATCAATGATTTTCAACTAGAACGATGTTGGGACATGGTATCCGGCATCAATGCCAAACTGAATTTTGTTTACATTCATTTCATTCATTTTCCTCCTCTTCAGTAGTCCATTTCTGGATCGGGGGGGGGGGGGGGGGGGGGGGGGGGACAAGTAGAGCTGCCACCCAATGCTCATAGCACCGGTCCCTCTGATCCTCTGCAGGTGGTGGGTCCACAGGAAGATGGCTACTACACTTGGTGTTTCAGCGGGAGCTTCAGGCAATGTGGGGTTAAGTGTCTTTCCCAAGGACACAACGATAGCAGACATTAGTGGGAGCAGTTGGAGTAGGTCCTGAGGTGGGCTCGAACCCATGACCTTCCAGCCCAAAGGCCAACGCTCTACCGACTGAGCTACTGTCACCCCCTCTCGAATTTTGTTTACAAGTAATGTAAAATACAGCATATTGTCACACACATGCTTAGGATGGACTGTGAAGAACAGGCAAAATATGGGACTGTTAAATTCTAGGGATTCATTGATTATCAACAACATGTACAACATGTATTTGTAGGCCAAGCAGACAGGATACATGTATTTATTTTTCACCTATTGTTTATCTAAGCAGTCAACGCATAATTGGCTTTTTTGAGCAGATGCAATCCATTAAACTTGGAACTACACACATGTTGGTGCACTGCTAATTACAACGCCTAAGTCATCAAGATGAATGTTGATATAAGAAGCCAAACAAAGGAAATGTCTTTTAAGTGCATTAAAGTGTACTATAGAGGAGAGGAGTGATTTAATTTAGTCCTGCACTCATATCCTACATTAGTCCCTGTTCACATATAGATCAAATGAAGTCATGTCTAGCATATTGGATTCAGCATTATCAAGATTCATGTGGCCGTTGCAAAATGTACTGCAACTACAGACAAATGTAAAGTCCCTGCGAGGCTTTAAATGATATTGGCCGTAGATATACAAGACTGCTTATATAGTTTCCATGGAAATTACAACTTATTTACTGAGCTGTTTTGCTTATTATCAACAGTGAGCCACGGCTTTGTTCGTGCAGTTGACAGATCTTCACTGAGGGATTTTCACATGACCTGAATGAATTTCTTGCATTTCTTGAATGTATTTTTCACCTGCTTCTTACGTCTGTTTCTTTTTTTAAATGAAAACAGCAACCACAAGTGACATGTCTGCTATGAGCCATATATATTTTCCTTTTTCCAATTTTTGGATTTTACTGTGTGTATGTAGCAACTTTAAACATTAAACATGTCACACTCCAGACACCAAAAAGGTCTGGAGGATTATTATTATGCATTTTTTAAGCATAATTTAAAGCATAATTTACAATAAATTGTTTGCGTAGACATTTTCTGATACCAGATATTGACATTTTCAAGAGGTAGAAGCTAGGGTAACGGTTCTAAGTAGAAGGAGACATAGTGAAGATAAGTAGCCGTGTTAATGCTGGACTGAGATGGAGGGAGAGTCACAGAGAAAGTGGGGCAGCTGCAACGGAAAAGAGGACACATGATCAACCATAAACTCCACATTAGAAACACCACCACTCTCTCGTTCTCATTCTGAACCGTAAAGTTTCACACAACCAGCTTTTTATGGTTACGCCACAGCAACACAATTAATCACTTTTAAGAACTGGGAACATTTAGAGAGTTCATTCATCATTAAGAGTGCATACCATGCCAACATTTTTTTTTTAATGGGGGCCATGTATTCTATTTCATATCCATACGACTCGTAGTGTTTGCACAATCCTGCCAACAGACAAACAGAAGAACACATGCATACGCACAGACCATTACAATACCCCCATGGTAACGAATAAGATGAAGATATTACCACATATGGCAAAGAGGAATACCCAACTTAAACATCTGGCCTCGCGCAGTCTGATCAGCAAAGAAATGTCAAAAACAATTAAAATATTTAAATTGCGATTACATTTATGTCAATATGTCTTTTTTGATCATTGACCATTATTTAATTCCATTTTTTGTTGTATGCATATAACCAGGGCCATGACCCTCGCAGTGGTTGGCACCAGGCAGCAGTAACATACTTGGACTGAGGGGAGTAGAGGTGTGGAATGTGGTAAGAATGAGATTGTGACCCTAACTTCTTATCCCTAACCCTTCCTCTAGTCAACCACCCGCCTAGGAGGAAATAGCTTACAGCTTAAGA